ATAGTCATTCGGGACAAATTCTACACGCCCCTAGTGGGAATTATACGAGCTGTGGTGACAGCATGTGTGAACAACCTCTATGTTCTCGCATACCTTAAGTTCTCATAAGTGTACATGTGCTTTAAAGAGAATAAATAAATAAATTTGGCTTGATTATGTGTGTTCTATTGTGAAATGATCTACTTGTTTTATGATGTGTATAGAAATGATAAGTACAAGTTCATATGATAAAATGAATTAATGATAATAATATAACTATTGTTTAGCATACTAATGATGATCTATGTGTGTATATAAACATTGTGTGGTATGATATGTACATGAATTTGTTAAGTAGTTATAGTTCCATTAGTTATTTACATGTCTCACTAAGTCTATGACTTAGCGTGTAAGTGTTTTACACGTAGGTGCTGATAATCAAGAGGATCAAGCTTAGGACCTACAGAAAAGCATATCTCCACTCGAAAATCAGATCATAAATATTTGTAAAGTATGTCTTTTATGTAACAGACATGTTGGCATATAAACAAAGTCATTAAGTATGTATGCCCTGATCGATTTTGGAAATGTTTTTGAATATATTGAGGTAAAATGTTATCTTTATATTAATGAAAGTTTAAATTTCTATTGTTTTATAAAGTATATGTTTTGAATCGTCAATGTGACACCTCAAATTCGTATCGGGTCGGATACGGGTTGGGGGTGTTACATTAGCGATTTCTTCATATTTAAAAAGCCTTAACACTCCAAAGGATTAGAAATACACTACCTTGATGTTAGAAACCCGAAATGAAGCTCTTTGCTTAGCCACACTCATTTCCTTTATGATTTGGTTGAAAACCTCCACTTTTTCTTTAGCTAGAAAGAACCCAAGACATGAATCATTAAAAAATGATGCTGGAAAGATTAAGGATGGATTTGAATAATGAAAAGGGGCTCAAGAACTTATATTTGAGTTATGGAACTTAGAGAGGAAGAATGAGATGAAAATGAAAATGAAGGAAGAAATGAAGAGAATATGGAAATGAGTTATAAAAACCCTCATCTTTGCAAAAATAGGGAAATTACGCTTTTGGTCTTTCCCCTCTTTCCACTATTCAAAGACCCTTTTTTTATGGCTAATTGAGCCTAAATCCAACCCAATTAAGCCCAACTCGGCCTAACACTTAAATTATAAAATTCACAGGGTCCACTTACCTCTCGGGTAAACCTAAAATTATTAACCCGGAATTTTGGGTATTACAAATTTTATATTTAAATATAATTAAAAAATATTGTAAGTTATTCACATCAATATACACACCTAATCACATTTCAAGCAATTTATCCAATCACATTTTTTTAATGAAACTCATGGGCCTCATTAAAAACCCAATCTAAACCTAGTAAGGGGAAAAGAGTGTCCAACTTATATTAATCAAAGATCAATGACATCGTTTTTAAAATTCTGAACAATGTTGTCGGGACAAACCGACTCAAAAAACCACCCGAATTTAAAGCCCAACTGGCTAATACATGAGCAACCTGATTACACTCTCTAGGAGTATATAAAATACAAAAATGAGGATGGTCCTGAAAAATAGTATGAGCCTCTTGAACATACAATCTGAGGGTGGAAATATATGTAGAAGTTCGTGTATTTTATGAACTAGCATCAAGGAATCGGTATCAAACTGAACATCATACCATCTCATATCACAAACCATTCTAAGACCAGCTAGTAAAGCAGATAGTTTCGTAAAACCCGCCTCAAAACATCCAATAGAAGACTGGGCCAAACCACCACACACCTGTCCATACTTATCACGAGCAACAACTCCAATCACAGACAGTCGACGCTTTGCAACAAAGGCACCATCAACATTCACTTTGATAACTCCCTCCAAAGGTGGAGTCCATCGTTTAGCAGTATTTGTAGACCGTTGTTTATTCATCCCCACACTAATCGCCCTTAAATAGTCCTGATGTAGTATGTTTGCATTAGCCACCAAGATCCATGTCGGTTGCAACCTATCAGAATGAACAAATGAGTTTCGATTATTCCAGACATTCCACAGAATTATAAAAAAAACCAGCAAAAGCATCAATTCCTAGAATAGAGAGTATTTCTCCATCCATAATAAAGGACTATCCATAGTACTTAAAATTATAGAAGGGAGCAGATATGCTAGACGTAAAGTCTCCAAAGTTACAGGACATGGCATGTATAACAATCTCCTCCTCATTAGAACACATAAGACAAATTCCATCACCAAAACCAGCAATTTTAAGCCGACTTCCCATAGGTAATGCATTCCGGGCAACCCGCCAAGCAAACACACGTATCTTAGGAAGAATTTTCAATTTAACCATAATTGACCACAGTTTAGACTTCCTCTCATTATCATGATGTCGTTTTTGTAACCACCAACAACCAGATCTAACTGAGTAATACTCGAATCATGGTTAGCCCAAACAATAACATCTTCAGCATAAGGTGCAATAAGAACTGAAAGAATCTGCCTAACATATTCCTTAGAAAACAACCTATAAATCAAAGGTTCATTCCAAACATTAGAGCCATCAATCATAAGATCAGAACAATAAATAGGATTAAGATCAGAGTTAGAATAACTCCCTGTGAGATAAACAACTTTTGAACCACCCCAGATATCATGGTGAACCCGTATATTACTTCGTATACCAATACGCCAAAAATGACCCCCACGCATCTCTTATAATGTATGGTATAAACCTTTCCAAGCATAAGAACTTCTATCCTTTAAAGTAGCATGCAACAGATCACCATGGGGAAAATATTTAGCACGAAATACTCGAGCCACCAAACTCTCTGGATCCTTGATAAATCGCCATAATTGTTTGCCTAATAAAGCCAAATTGAAACTATGCAAGTCCCGAAATCCTATCCCACCTTCTCTTTTGGGTTTGCACATTGTTTTCCAAGCAATCATTGGCCAACCACGTCTATTAACATCACCTGACCACTAGTAACGCCTCATATTACTCACCAAATCCTGAACTAAACAATCAGGAAGCCGATAGCAAGACATAATATACTGAGGAAGAGCTTGGGCTACAACTTTAAGAAATACCTCACGACCTCCAAATGAAAGAAGATGTTTCGTCCACCCGTCAATTCTATTAGAAACCTTTTCTTTCAAATAACCAAATGTATTTCTCTTATTCTTTCCAATGTTAAGAGGCATACCAAGGTAGTGTCCCAAATCAGGCACTTCGCCAATACCCAAGATACTTGAAATCTGATCACGACATTCTTGTCTCGTACTTGGACTAAAATATAATGTCGATTTCTCAAGATTCACCTTTTGACCAGAAGTAGCTTCATAAACACCAAGAGCATCACGAATAATAGAGGCCTCCTGTAAAGAGTTTTTAATGAAAATAAGGCTATCATCAGCAAAAAATAAATGAGTTACCTTAGGCCCATTCCGACTTGCCCCCATTCCACGAATCTTCCTTTGAGCCTGCAAACGGTTAAATAGAGTGGATAACCCCTGAGTGCAGAAAAGAAATAAAAATGGAGATAAAGGACCGCCTTGTCGTAACCCTCGATTTGGCCTAAACTCCTTAGTGAGACTACCACTGATACGAACAGAGAATGAGACGGTTTCCACACATCTCATAATAAGATTTACCCAATCAACACAAAAACCTAGCTTTAACATAACCTTTCTCAGAAAAGACCATTCCACTATATCGTACGCTTTCTCCATATCTAATTTAATACCAGCACCCTTATTCGGACCATTTTTTGAAGAGTTCATATAATGAATAAGCTCATGTGCCACCAATATACTGATTTGAGCAAGTGTCAATGTACTGATTTAAATGGTCAACGTCATTAACTCATTATAGATTGTTATTATTTTTTTCACTTTAAAAATTGCATAAATTAAATTACTCTTGTTTTTTAAGAGAGTTCGATTACTAAATTTCAAAACTAAAAAATAATTAAAAATATTAAAATTAAAGTATTTGTTCAATCAATTGTAATTTTAATATTTTAAATCAACATATTTACTTTTTTTAAAATATACAAAAACTAAAATGACCCTTTTATAATGAAAAGAACAAAAATGAACTTTTTATATAGTATATAGACTTGTAGTGTACGTTTAACCCAGTTTCTAATATATAAAAATTTAGGTCAAACTCTATAAAATATCCATGCATCATGTGTTTTTCCTTTATTATATAATTCAATTATTTCTATTCATTTTCGGTGCTAAACCAACCCTTTTTCTTGGAAATTTGTTTATACATTTTAAAATGTCTAAAGATTGAGAAAAAAATATTAATATTCATCCAATTATATATAAAAAAAATACATTTTACTAGTCATATCAATGTAGTCTTTTTTTAAAAATAAATCACATTATTTACGAAAACAAAAGTTAACCATAATGGTGTAAATGAGATTAAGTTTTAACGAATAATATTATGTTTATGTTCGTTTATTTACTTTTAAAGGTATTTATATTCATTCGCGGACATGTTCGATTATATGTTAGCGAACATAGTTATTGGTTTTTGCAAAAATATGTTTGTTTAGTGTTCATTTATATGTTTGTTTAGTGTTCATTTAATATTCGCAAATAAGATCATTTGCAAGCTAAAAAAAATTATAAAACCACGTCACTAGTGTTTAAACTCCTTAACTTTCATAGTTTGAACTCAAAATTTTATCATATGTTCATTTTAATCGATAAAATCATTAATATTTAATATATAAAAATAAAAATATAAACAGGTTTATAAACGAGGTATTAAACGAGTTTGTTCATGAACATAATCAAATAAATTGATAAACGAACTCATAAATGATTTCGTTCGTAAATACAAACGAATTAAATATACATTGTATGTGTTCATTCATTTAATAAATGAACATAAAAAATTAGTTCACAATCGTTTAAACTTAATAAAACAAACACCAACAAATATTATACGAATATTTCATGAACAATTCGTAGCATACTATCCTCATTTAGGTCCTGGTTAAGCATAGTTCGTAGATATGAAAAAACACACATTTTGAGAAATTAAAACTAATCATTGACTAAATTCCCCAAAACCGTATATAAACCACCAACGTAAGATGAATTTACCGATGGCAATTACGTGCGCATAGCAGTTTTGACTTTGTCAAAATGCCAAGCGGGGCAGCTTCTTCCCACGTGCGAATTGAATGTATTCACATGCCGCGAGCTCTCTCAAGCCCTCCACCGTGAACAAAGCACGATTCCTGATCCGCCACCGTAACAATCCGGTCCCGGATATCCGTGAAAGCCTCGACGATAACACGGTGGTGGCACCGAGAATTCAGTTCCAAGAAGCACCGAAGCAGCTCCTGGAGATCATCTTCGGAGTAGATTCGTTTCTCCACGATCATTTGAAGCATGGAATGTCGAAAATCACCGTAGGGGTCGTTGGAATCCTTCACCACGGCGATGCTGTCGACGATTTTAGAGCAATGGCTGCCGAGTTTAGCTCTGGGAAACGTTTGATGATCGGGTAATTCGGAATCGGAGTTGAGATGATCGGTGGTGGACGACGATGATATGGCGTCGACGTTGTTGAAAGAGAAGGAAGTGGACGTGAGATCATCGTCTTCGATCGGGGCGTTTGATGGGTTTCGGAGTTTGGGTTTTGGCTGGTAAGCGTCGGAAAGCTTGGGTCTGCTACACCCACAGCCTGCATCGAGTGTGAACAGGGTTTTCCACAGCTTTTTCTTGTTGGAAGACATTAAAGGTAGAGTCGTAGAGAGGAGGAGGAGACTATTATAAATTTAGTATAACTGAAATGGGAATGGATTAGATTTGTATTGTCTACCGGTCTTTTTCAACGTTTTTTAGGTCCTGAAAAATCCTAATAGCTACTCCCGAATTTTGTTTAAATTTCTCTTTATGAATATATTTTAATTATTTAGATAAAATAATATATTTGGGTTTCAATTTGATAATTATTTTCAATTTAAGACTTAAATATACCAAAAAATTCCCAACCTATGCTCTTTCTAATTTAGTGTATAACCTTTATTTCGTTCCAGTTTGGTGTCTAATGTTTCATTCCGTTACACATTTAGGTGTCCGGGTTATCAATGACGTTAAGTTTGGCCTTAAGTAATACGTTTCACAACCTGATAATTTTAAAAAAATTTATTTATAATTAAAAAATTATATATATATTTAAAAAGAAAACATAAATTTTGAAATAAAACCTAAAAGTTTGAAAACCTTCATTTCCACCCCTAAACCCATGCTGGTCGCCGCCTTTTACCGTCGACGAAGCTCCACCCTACCTCCCCTCCCCTCGGTGACCAAAACCCCCATGAAATCGTGATCGATCAACGGTCGCCAAGGGGAGGGGGTCGGGTGGAGCTTCGTCAACGGTAAAAGCCGACAGTCAGCATGGGTTTAGGGGTTGAAATGAAGGTTTTCAAAGTTTTGGGTTTATTTCAAAATTTGTGTTTTCTTTTTAAAATATATATAATTTTAATTTTTTAATTTTAAATAAAATTTTTAAAATTACGATGTTGTGACACTTGTCACTTAATGGGCAAACTTAACGGTCTGTCACGGCTTGACCCATTTTGAGCAACGAAATTAAACGTTAAGCACCAGACTGGAACGAAATAAACGTTACAAACTAAACTAGAAAAAGGAGCATAGGTAGGGCACCTTTTGTATATTTAAGCCTAAATTTAATTTTGATCTTTTTTATATATTATTTTTTGAGTGGGTTAATATGAGGTAATAAAGAAATTGATTAATATGAGGTAAATATATGATACTATTTATATGAAATATTTCAATCATTTAAAAATTAATATTTCTATATTTCTATGGACGACGTACTCAAATTTAGGATCTCAATGGATAGCAAAATTTTGTTTAATTATTAAGTTGGTTTGGTTTGTATAAAAAGTATCAATAAATAATAGGGTAAATTACGCATTTAATACTTAAATTATCAATTGCATCCATTTTAATACCTAAACTTTAATTTTTTTCAAAATTATACCTAAAGTTTAATTTTTATTTCATTTTAGTATCACTGTTCATAATTTAACGTTAAATTTTGATTTTTTTGAAAGTTTAGGTATCAAAATGGACCAAAACTAATAGTTTAGTAGTAATCACGTTAAGTTTTTAATGGTATGATTACTAAAATGAAATAAAACTAAACATTATGCATGATTTTGAAAAAAATGAAAATTTAAATATTAAATGTGTAGTTTACCCTAAATAATATATGGTTTATTAGTCAATAATTCAAACTTTATAATATTTCGAGTTAAGTCTTGAATATTTTGAGTTTAAGTATTTTCAAGTTTAAATGGAGTTAGAATTTTTAAATTTAAATTTAAATTAAATTTAATAATTTTAAATCTTGATTTTTTAATTGGAATCAAACTTAATTTAAAATTTTTCAAGTTTACGTCTATGAACCACCATGTCTTAGCCTTTAGGAAATAGCTTTGGAGTTCTTCTGAAACATTGAATGCAATTTAAGACACGTACGCTCAAATTTAGCCCCCTGTTTCCTGGATTTGTACCAAAGAAATAAATGAAAGGTAAACTATATAAATGATCATTTTACAATGAATAAATTTCCTTTTTTCATTATTAAAGTTTTAAAGGTTATACAATGAGTCATTAATATTATTGTTTTGTAACAAATGAATCCCTCCACCCTTAACAAGCGTTATTTCAATCACAAAATACTGATGTGACATGTTTAATTAGCTTACTTGACACTGTTTAAGCATGATAGATCACAGCTTACTCCCACAAAAACGCTCTTTAAAAAGGATCCCAATTCCTAAATGAACTCTAATTTTAAATAAGAGAGAGGAGTAAAAGAGAAGTGTATAGGAAAAATAGGACCATGGTGCAAAAACTCTGCCTATGAAACTAGGGGTTCAACCACCATAATCTGCACTGATAAACCGACATTCTTACATTAAACGACATGAGGGTTACTGAGTTTTGACTTGTGAAGGAACGTATTGATAATTTTTCGAGCTTGGATATAACATCTAAGATCCTCTGGTTACCAAGTGAAGGGGTATGTTTAAACACAATTGATAAAGTTTATAACCTAATCCCACATCGATTCCAGAGTCCAACCCAGAAAGCTGCACTAATTTCCTGGGCTTTGAATGACACAGTGTTGGAATATTAATGATTCAAAAGCAGTAGTGTTTATGAAATAATCCATGTTGAGGCATTCAATTCACAGAAAAATAGAAGTGCCAAAGGTCGAAATTATTTGAGTAATGGCAAGATCATCGCCTTTCCACAAACTCCTAAGGGCACAGAGCTTGAAGCAGAAGGGTCATGTAGTAGCAGCCACCAGTGACGGCGCAAAAAATGTTCTTGCTTTAAAAGATACCGCTATGAGGCAGTGATTCAAGGGCAAAGAAGGCTCTCAATGGGTGATTCAGAGAAACACAAGATTTTACGTTAAATGTGTAAATATAAGAAGATATAACAAAAATTTAGAGGTGAAAAATAAAATTATAAATAGAAAATATAAAAAAGGGTAAAGTATAGAAATAGTCCCCAAACTTCTAGGACATTTGTATTTTGGTCACCCAACTTTTGAAAATTATAATATAATTATCAAACTTTTAGGTTATTTTTAGTAAGGTCTATGTTGTTACCATCCTTTAAATTTTATTGACGTGACACTTTTAGTTGGGTAATTAAAATACAAACGTCCTAAAAGTTTAAGAGTTATTTAAATTATAGATGAATTTAAATTTTTCATAAATTACGATTGCACTTCTAACACTTCCTTCGGTCCATCCATGTGTCGATTGATCTTCAATTCTTTTCTCTCTTGATTCTATTTTTTCTTTAACACTTTTCCACTCTTCTCTCTCATTTGAAAATAGGGTTTATTTAGGAGTTAGGAATCATGTCTAATGAGGATTTCGTATAGGGTTTAAATAATCTGTCAAATGTGATATCCTATTGTCAAACGGTGGCAAATAAACTAATCAAACGTATCATATCGGCCTTTTCTGATTAAAGTAATAAGGTAAAAGAGTAATTTTTGTCTATGTAATAGGTCTAATTTATCATTTTTGCCTCTATTATATTTTCGTATTAATTTAGTCCTTGAAATGTTAATTGTATCATTTTATATCCTACTCCTAACTTAAAACCCTAAATTATAAACCCTAAACCTTAAATACTAATTTAGAATGTATAATTTGGGGTTTTAAGTTAGGAAAATGATATAGAATGATGCAATTAAATAATTGTGAGGGTTAAATTGATACGAAAATACGATATGGGTGAAAATGATAAATTAGATATACAACGAGGGCAAAGGTAACCCTTAAGTCAAGTAATAATCATTAATAAAGGATTAGCTGATTTATTATACAATGATACTATTAATAATATTTTAAAATTTAAATGATGAAAAAATAATTCATATTCTAATGGTTATTTATGTAAGTTGATCACCGATGCGATCGGAGAGAGAGTGGGGAGTTTTGCTTTGGCACATTCTGCATCTCCTATAAGGTTCTTTCCAACTGTGTCTCTCACCCCTTTGTTGGGAGGTGGCTAGGAAAGAAGGTTGAAAAAGAAGAGTGAAATGTGTGTGCACTTCCTACATACATACATATATATATATATATACATACATACATATATATATATATATATATATGGTGTGCAAATAAATCATGTTTTCTCTTTACGAATTTCACTTATCTTTTGAGATGGAATTACTCAATGATATATTATATGATTACATGATATTTTTACACGAATACTAATATTCATCATTCTCATCTTCACTGAGCAGCCTACCCAATTCCCTCAATTATTTAAGTTTGTTTTGATGCGATCAGAAGCTATAAGGAGAGAGAATCTAATCCTTCTTTCCATCTTTATGATTTCAGCTTTCAATCCCAACAACAGATTTCCAGTAAAAAAAGAAAGAAAAAAAGATGGTTAAATGGTTAAAAGTAACTGCACATGACAACAGAAGATTCAGTAGAAATAAATATGATTGTAATAAAACGAAATTTACTCAAACATATGCTACAAGACAAAAATCAACTTGTGATCAGATTGAATTGTCATGTCATAATCTGCATTGCAATTGATGCTTCGAATTGTGTACAAAAATCAAATTAATTTTGAGTTTAATTACTTTTTGGTGATTCCTCATTCTCATGTTTTGTTTTTACTGAAAGTGTTATTATTTTTTTATTTTTTTTCATTTAACACGTGGTACTATACCACACCGATTGATACGGTGTCAGTGTGCTCTGTGACAAGTGAGTGGATGAGCTTTTGCAAGATAGCAATACGTGGATAAAAATTTTCTAATAAACTTTGAGTTTCTGTTTGATAATTTGAAGTTTAAGGATGAAAATTGTTGACATTTTAATCTGATTTTATCCCAAATAGAATTTTATAATATTATTGATTATTATGGTATCATTCCATTCCATTCTAGAAACATTACGTCAAGTTAGCTGGAAAAGAATCAAACTAGTTGTTAGGTATATGTGACAATGGGGAATGGTTACATGCAGCAATTTTAATATACGATTAAAAAAGTGTTATTGGTTTTGTTATTGTTTAAATAACAAAATCGATAAAAAATTATCAGAAACATTATTAGACGCTAAAAAATGATCGATTTTATTATTATTTGACGTTTTAACCGAATTTTCAAAAAAATGATTAGAAATATTATTAGGCGCTAAAAAATAACAGAAAACATTACTAGGCGCTAAAAAATGACCGAAAATATTAAAAAAATGATGTTTTAGGTAAAAATAATAATATTACCGATTTTATTATTTAAACAATAACAAAATAGGTAGCGCCTTATTTTAGCCTTATATTAAGGTGTCGCACTGTAGAACTGCCCATGTGACAATATAGCGGATTTATTTATGGGTATTTTTTTAATATATATATATATATATATATATATTACTTTTTTTAATTATTTATATGTGATCTGTTGATTAATAAAAGTAAATATTATATTTTTTTAAAAATAACGTCAACTAAAATAAATATCTAAATTAAAAATTGTCTTTATCTCCGACAAACCTAAACCTAATCAATTTATTAAAGATTATTTCTCGAGCTAACAAGAATATTGAGGACAATGGAGGATTGGAAATCAATTTGAACAACAAAAATTTTGAAATTTTAAATAGATATAAATAAAATTTTAAGTCAAAGAACATCAATAAAATAAATAACTAATATAAAGAAATTTAGATTTCATAATTGGTACTTGCTCATACTAGAAATAAACTACATTCGCTGAGTTTTGACCCAATTAGACTCTATTGGGCTAGGGTTTTTAAAAAAACTCAAGTTTTGGTCTGGTTAGGTTGAATTTCTTTAGAGAATAAATTCGAGTTAGGTCAGGTTTGAGTTTAAGATAAAAATATTCAATCTAATGAGACTCAAAAAATAATATAATTATATCTTATATATATAGGAATAATTACAATGATACTCTTATCTTTCTATTAATTATTTTCAATTATATTTCTATTTATCGAATAAAATTAAGATTTTTTTATAAATATATTTATGTTGGTTCAATTTCAAATTTTATTTCAAAAGAAAAATTAAATTTTAGGTCGAATGTAGTCACCTTAAACCTGAATTAAATCAAATTTTGAATAAAGAGTATATATTTTTAGACCGGATTGAATTGATTAAAAACTCGACCCAACCTGACGCATACCCATCTCAATGAGTACTAGTTCCAACTATACCAAACCACAATAATTCCGAAGCAGCTATGTAAGCAGGTGAAGCAATAAAGCATTAATTACGTATAACATGGCACTCACAAATCTTTACAGCTTCAAGAACATTGCTGGGACTTGGAATTGGTCTTCAGCCATTGGATGTAGTATCCCAACAATGAACAAAGTTAACCAAATTTTTACTCTTTAAATTAACCTTAGAGAACGTGAATCTAATTACTCAATCCTTTGTTCCCATGGAACAGGATCCAAAAACTGTACTCGTTTTCTCATCGAAATGAACGTTTAATTTGAAGAAAGTTGCAGAAGCAAGAAGATTAAACATGGTATATATAAGTCACATGAGCAACAATAATTAAGGAAAAGATGAACTAATCAAGAGAAATATCGACACTGCAACTTTGAACAAGCTGATACTTCATAGCTAGACCTACTTGGATGGCCTTAGTTCGATCACTAAACGAAATGTAAGCCGGACAATTGACGTTCATTTGATATCGACCTGAAATCCAAGTCCCAACCTTCCATTTCAATTCCCCGAACACTTTAACGTTGATCAGCACCATCCCAGCATTCATGTCCTGGTTCAAACCCACCTCGAGAAACGGAGCCACCGGCACTGCATTGCCTAACAAAAATGGGGACCATACAGTGACATCCTCATGGCCCTGGTAGGTTCTCGGGATCAGGGTCGGTAGAGTTATCTGCTGGTTCCGATACGACGCCAAGACATCGAGTCTTTGGTAGTAAATGCCGATCCGGTCGTTGGGGTTCCTCGAGGCTAAGGTGATCTGCATGTTCGAAGTGAGGTAGTTGGGTGGTGTGAGGTTGAAAGCATAGATGGTTACATCTTGGAGAATAAAATGGGGCTTGGCAGGGTGGAGAACTGCCCATACGAGGAAAATGACTATGACTAAGACGATTAAGAACCCGAGAATGGCTAACGATACACGCTTAGCGAGCTCACGGTTGTCATCGTGGCGGCCGCAGTCCTTGGAACCCATGGTGGAGATGAGAAGATCTGAAGAAGGGTTTTGGAAGGAGAGGAAGAGTGAAAGTGAGACGAGAGTGATATATAGATAGATGTGTGTGTAAGCTTGGGGGTATGGGTACTAATTTAATGTGCCACCGAATATATTTGTTGAGTGTTGATTGGAAATTGACTTCAAGAGGAAAGGGGGAGATGGGTGGTGCAAAATGAGTGTGTATGTTTAGTGAGACCTTATCTTGGTGGGTGCATACTCCTTTTACTTCAAGGCCATTGTCCCATTTGGACCCACCAAGAATTCAACTCTCTTGGAAACCAAAACATGAATATGGGATGTTTAAATTTACCTTCGAGCAATGATGCATTTTACATGCAATTCTATGATTGGTGTTAAAAGAAGCATTTCCTAGGGATATTATTCCTAATTGGTGTTAAAGGTTTTTGTAATACCCTTGTATACATTATTAGTTATTCGCCAAAAATGCTCTAAAACGATTTCTCTGACTTATTCGGATAATTTTTGTAACACCCACGGATCGATGCAGGTGACCCGATCTAATCCGAGGCATTACATTAGGGCCACCAGAGCGATCACTGTAACAATCCCATAAAATTAAAAAAAATTTAAAACATGTAAAATAAAAAAAAATTATAAACACAACGGTAAATTTAATAATATTCAGAAATAAAACAGATTTCAGACTCGGATATAAAAAAAAATTCAAGCTACATGCCCCCTAATCACGTGTATCGTACTCCGCAAGCAACGCCGGTGGAACTCTTTTACTGATGTCGATAGCTGCACTAGTTCAATCCTTTCAACCTGAAAAGGTGAGTAACATAGTAAGTTTTGGAAAGCTCAGTAATACAGAACTATCAGAAGATGCTGAAGAACATGCAGATAACAAATAAGTATATGTTTCCTTATTGGTTCAGACATCTACAGACTTTTAGGCTGAGCTGAGGTCCCACTGATATCTCAGGTAGTAACAGACAATAAGCTTTCAGTTCATAGGGAACTATTTCGGATAACTGGATTCAAGAGATCAAAATAGGGTATCTAGTGTGTTCCCACAAAACCAGTAAAAAGGTACAGATCTTTTTAAAACAGTAACCATTTAAAACGTATTTTTCAAAAACCATAGTAATACCTCCAACCGAACGCCATATGCAGCTCCCTAGAGGTGCATCCATAAGGACTTACCCTAGGCCCAAAAGAGCGTAGGAGCCAACCTAAAGGAGCATCTTGGGTCCATAAGGTCTTACCCTAGTAGAAGTGTAGGTGCCCACCTGAGGAGAGTATCTTCAGGTCCATAAGGTCTTACCCAAAAGCACATAGTAGTGGTGTCATCCCTAAGGAAGTGCCTTAGGGTCCATAAGGTCTTAACACTAAGCCTACTAGGCACAGGAGCCCACCCAATAGTCACCTTAGGTCCATAAGAAATTATTAGTCGGTACTAAACCTATACAAGGAATTACCAACAACGACTGAACCTGCCAGTGTCTTCAGTCATACCATAGTCCCAGATTACCTCGTATAAAAATAAATTTCAGTTTGAAAATAGAGATCAGAAATCATATCGGAAATCAGAGATCATAACAGATATCAAAGTTCATAACAGAAATCGGAGATCAACCTATATTTCAGATAATATAGACATGTTTTTAAAATTAGAGAAATGTTTTTATAATTAGAGAAAACATCCATGATGATCCGGGAACACACTAGAGGTTCCAGATTTTATTCGGAGGTGATTGGTATTTATCAGATAGGGAGTTATGAACTTCTGTAAACTGATTTAATTCAGAAATTAGATTTCCATAATAGGGTTTAATAGCTGACAATTTCATCAGTTATTCAAAATGTGATTTATCAGAATCATAAACTATTCGAATATTTTTCGGAGTTACTATGTAATCAGAAAGGTATTTAGAATCCTTTGCATCAGAGTTACTCGTGTTTTCAAATATGACAGGAGTAATTTCGTTATCCAGGACATCAGAGCTGTTTTAGACTGAAGAATTTATAGAGTTTTGAGCTAATCAAGGAGAAACGAAGATTCAAGGCATTTACGATTTGTGTCGATCTATCGGAAAATATCGAGTTAACTCAAACTGATAACTCCCATCACTGATATCTGTCAACCTGTCAAATCGTTACACTTTCAGGGTATTCACTTTTCAATGCATACATCTCTTGTCAAATTGATCATCTTCAGAATCATCGCTGAATGTCTTAAGGAGACGAACAAATATTCCAATGGTCTTTATTTCATTTATACATTTCAATAATATCAGGAAATGTGATGTGTTTGATTCGTGGTTCAAAACCCTTATGGCTAATACAATATATATATAACCATCGATGTTTCTAGACTTATCCAAGTCACTCACTTAACCCTAGGTCATTGAGGGTACTTAGGTTATATAATTTAGTCATTTTGGTATTCGAGGTTGATTTGTTCATTTCAGAGTTGAGGGTATTAGTTATTCTAGTGCTTAGATGTGCTTTGAATCATATTATACTTCAGGGGGATTCCAAATAAACCAGAAGTTTAATCAGTGATTCCAAGATTCCAATGGATCATGATATAAGTTCTCAAGTCGTCTCTATTATCATAGTCATCCATATTGCTTTTTACTCTTTAAGGGTATTATAGTCATTTCATTCAATTTTGTCAGTGACATACTTCGGGTAACTTAGGCTTGAAAGTATTCTAGTTCCTTTAGCATTCAGGGTACTTTGTTCATTTGATCACTAGAGGTTAATTTCACCACTAGGGGAAGTCTTGGTCATTTTTTCAATACCATGACAGTTTCGTAATTTTATCACATGGTGTTATTTTTGGTAATGTCATTCCAAATATTTCCAACATTTAACCTTTAACGAGATTAATCAGAATTTACGCGTTCTAAGATTTATTGATTTACTGATTAAATCATTGAACTGAGGTTTATTTCTGATCAGTCTACCTATTTCTTTTTGGAGTCGTTTAGGGCTTTTACAGTGTTCCTTCTTTATTGCAAATTTAATTTGAGTACAATGATAATTAATTACATCTCATGAACCAATTATATTCATTTATGCATGTACCAATTATCAATGGGTTCCGGAAAGCATACAAAGGGTAATAGAGTATTACCTCGATTTTCGTATCATATCGATCGGCCCTTTAAACTCCATTTGATCAGTCTCAAACTTGAATTCAACATCCAATAATTCCTCATATACAAAGCAACCAAATTTATGTCAGAAACTAAATTTAATTTAGAAACCATATTGAATATGAAGGTAAATCTCTGAAAAATGGCTTACCGGGTGCGAATTTAGCAAAACGAACTTCGGATTCGGACTCAGGACGTCGAAAAACGTAAAAATAGGGCTTTCCAAAAATTTTGACCTTTTTGGTCAAAATCAACGGTCTGACCGGTCAACTCTGACCAAAGTCAACGGGTTGAGTCAAAGAGGTTCGGGTCGGGCAAGTGGGTCGGTATTGTTCAAACCGGGTTGATCGGTTCGGGCCGGTCCAGCCAGAATGATCAAGAGCTAGGGACTAGCCCCACGCGTACCTGGCGGCACGTGGGGGCTTGTGAACCGGCGAGAAGAGATATGGTCGGCTTCCATTTACTCCAAATTCAACCAAAGCTTCAATTACATCAAAACCCAATCCAATATCACACTTAAACCATACCAAAACTCACCCACAACCGATTGGTAACTTACCCAAACGATGGATCGACGACGGCGCGTCAATGGTAAACAAAACCGGTCGGGTCTTGAGCGCATGACAACAGTGAATCCAATGATGCAGGCGGTGAGGCAAGATAACGTTGGAGGCTGCCGGAATCATCAAAGATATACTCGGCGACGGGGATTTTTCAACGGGCTTTTCTTGGTCTTCCACGGTGAACAACTGCATTTCAAGACGGGCTAGGGGTGGTTTTGATCACCGTTCAACGGTGAGTCTATTGGTAGTGTCGGAGTGACGAACGGTGGTCGGACGGCGGCGTAATCAGGTGACAAATAGGGTCGACGGGGGAGATAATTTGGGGGTTTTAGCTTCCACTGGAGAAGACGATCGGGGGTCTATTTTTCAACATTAACTGAAAATGGGAAAATTTAGGACTAGGTCCCTAAATTTCCTATTCTTTCTAAATTTGTCTATAAGTTTTAGAAACTCGTAATTTGACCCCTAATTTGGGATGTTATAATTTTTTTAAGTCTTTCACATTGTATAAACACGATCTCTAATAAATCCACATAATTTATCTGAGAGAAATTTAAGATTTAACCAACAGATATTTCTGGTTTATTGATCTATGAATAGTTATAACAATCATACAACTGAAACACGCAATAAATATTACTATAAATATTTCTTAACACATTCGAGAAAAAGGTTGATACTATTTATAATTGATCTTCTTCTTTTTCCCTCTTTTATGACACAATTTTTACTACTCAAGATCAACGAATCAAACAGTTTTGGACATATCATTAGAAATGGTCAAAAATGAATTAAGCCTATAAAGTATATTTGTCCAATTATTTTTGTAGAAAAATTATTAGATGGATTTAATTCACCACGTTACCTATAGTATTTACTAATAAAATTTATTTGTCTCATTTTTAAGGTGAATCTTCACATTTTTCCTACATATAAATAAGGAATGGATATTTATTTGAAAGTTACTTTGAGAAGAATGAATCTTATTGGTTAAGACTACAAATAACATGGTGAATCGAGTCCATCAAATAATTTCTCATCTTTGTGGGTACTTGAAAGAAAATCTTTTGGTTATTTCTAGGCACCACATGCCACATTATCTTAAATAGGTTTAAAATATGACCTCGTATGGGATGTTTGTGTTAGGAGTGTTCAAAAAACTGAAATTGTTAATCTTAATCGTTAATCAGTATAATTGTTACGTTTAACAGGTTAATTAATTGAATTTTTAATGTTAAATATTCAGTTTATCGAATCGCTAAAAATATTAGTTAAGGTTACGATTACAAAGTTTGATAAACAGTTAATCGTTGATTAACAGTTAATAAATTAAATTTATAATTATATTTTTAGGGAAAATATTAATAGAATTAGAAGTAAATTTTAGTTATATTCTTAAAATTTATAATCATTTATATTAT